GGAGAGAAGATTTTGGCCATTGCAAAGGGAGCGTGTGTATTCTCGATGACGCTCTGAATTATGATAATTAAGGAATTCTTTCGGTTCGAGGATTATGTTGGTTTAAAGGGACGATGAATTGGACGGTGGTGTGCAATTTAGGGATATTAGGCGGAATGTACTCGAGATAATTTTAATAATGTGTTTAAGTACGGTAAGATTTTTAATTTTTTTAACGAATAATAATTCGATTCAATGAGTTTCAATTGTGTCTTTTTTTTTTTTAATTTAAGGTAAGACGAATAAATAACCATTGATGAACGAATTGAAGAATTGTTTGTTTGAGGAAAACTGATATAAAGTTTAAGAAGAAAATTTCTAATGTTAATAAGAAATTTAAACGCCGTCCACAATTGAAAGTTGTAGTTAATTATCATTATTCCTTGAATGCCACGCATATTATATTGATCGATAAATATCTTACGAAATATTCTTATTTAGTTAGGATATTTCCAACGAACGCCTCGCAAATACAAAAACGCGCACCTCATCCCGATCATAAATCTCCCGTCAAACATTGTTTAATTAAGCCACGGCTCACCTCGGCATTTACCGCTTTCCACGATCAATTACTCATACCCGATCATCCTCCCATCTCCTCCGTCCGTAATTCCATCGAAGACAACCCGACCGGTTCATTAATTATTTTTCACCGAAATTTTTAATCGTCCTCGATCGAACTGGTAGGTATATATAGTGTACGGGTTGAACGAAATGGCGGAGATTCATTAGATCGGGCTTCCAGATGATGGCTACCATCGAGGGAATCGCCTCGGTCACGGTGTATCCTCCTCCTCCTTCTCCTCTCCCTCTCTCATCTCTCTGTTTTCGATCGTTTAATCGTGACCAAAGTTTAGATCACGATCGTGTCTCATATTCCTGGGAACAGTTCGAGGGAAACGTGTGTTTCGTTTCTCGTTATTCCTACGGGAATGGAATGCTGCAACAACAGGGGCGCGTGGATGAAGTCATCGCGGCAGCGAGGTTTATGAACGTCGAGCGTTGAAAGCTCTTGGAACCAAGTTCTGGAAGCTTTATGAGGGCTTATTTTAGAATAACGCGGTGATTCTACGGTGATTCGAAGGAAGACGAGCGATGAAAGAATGCTTTTTGCGCGAAAAAATTGGAGAAATACGAAGAGGCAGAGACGTGATCGTTATCGTTTAAATTTGAATTGTTAGAATTTTTTTTCTATCAAGATTTATATTGATTTTTCACTCAACGCCCAACAGCCGAAATAGCTCAGTTGGGAGAGCGTTAGACTGAAGATCTAAATGTCCCCGGTTCAATCCCGGGTTTCGGCATCGGTGGTGCAATCGCTGTAATTAAATTGTGTTCATCTATTTTTTTTATTAAAACAAAGATCAATAGGAATTACTTGTGAAAAATCATTGTGATAAAATAGATACAATTTTTTGACGTCTCAAACAGGAATAAAATCATCGTCATTGTCCAATAGTCGAGAAACGAGATTTTCATTTAGATCGCCTCCTTCATTTTCCACAATCGCACGATCGTTTAACATAATCCTTAGACACGTCTATTAACGTCCACGCGAGCTAATTACTCGAGCTTGCACCGTCCATCGCGTGCAAAAGGGGGCGAGGAAAGTCCGCGCGATTAACATGTGGTAACAGGTAAACCCGTTCGTACGCATGCGCGATCGATCACGTCTCTCTTGAACTCGTTCCCTCCATTCCTCCTCCTCTTCTTCCCCCTCCTTATCTCACCCGTTTCGTCTCACTTTTCTCATCCACCGTCCACGGTAGAAACTTATTTGGCCCTGGCCTGTAAACCGGAATGATATCAAGGGGATGGGGGGAGGGGGAGGAGGAGGAGGAGGAGGAGAGAAATTAATGAGTTTTTATTGGGAGCCCGACCATTCTTCGCCGTGCATCCATCCAGTATTATGGATGCAAATAGGATGTAATTTCATTAAGGGGACGTTACTTCGAATTACTTACGACCGCGCGTCGATCGGCCCCAACCCCCTTCCTCTTCCGCCCCATCTTCCTCTTCTTCCCTTTCCTCCTCCTCCTCTCCAATCTTGTTTACGCTCGTAATACAGTTATTTGCGATTTTAGCGGCCCCCATGTTGCGAATTATAATGTCCCCGGGAGAGATTGATACGAGGGCTTCTGGATACGTTGGTTGGTCTTGACAGGGTTGTTGAATTATCGATGGTAATCGAGCGTGGTGAACGATCTTGTAGGCTTTTCATTAATTTCGATCGATACGTGTTATTATCTACTTGATTTTTGCGTAAATGATTTTCTTTTTTCTTTTTTTTTTTTAGGAGGAGACCGGTTTCATCTCCTTTTTGAAATTTTCTTCCCCTAGGACGTTGCAGTCCTTCCACTTTTATGAGTCAATCGATCGTGAGTTTATAAATTAGCAGTAATTTTATTTATCTTAAAAATTAACGTTTCACTGGCCAGCCGTGAACACGTAACACAGAACAATTATTTTATGTAATTATTGTCTTCGTTCCGGCTAAAGGGTAATATTGAATAACAAATAAAATAAAATAGAAACTTTAAAGTGAGAATTATTCGTGGATTGGATTCGAAGATATTTAATCTATGGTGAAGGGATTGAACAAACACGTGAAGTTGACAAGAGAGCAGGGAAGAAAAGCATTGGCGGGGCTCGAATAGGAACCGCCAATGCCGGCGGGCAATCGTACAGACGGATGGACATAACACGGGAGAACCAGTTCTCTCATTTCATTGCGTTCGTTGTCCGATAATGACGCATAGCACGGCACGCACATCTTGGCATGCGAGCAAATATCACGAGAAGTTTTCCACCCACTGTTCCACCAGCCATTGAAATTTTCTCTTAATCTCGGTACTCTTGAAGAGACTCTGTGCAGAATGTTAACGTATTCCTGACTGTGCCTTTTTAGAGGATAACATTTTTTTAAAGACAGAGGCCAGAATAGACAAGTAAAGAAGTTTCTATTTTCAGAATACTGTGATTGTCGATGTTTGTAACGGTGATTGAAAAATCCAAGGAAAATTATCATTTAATTACTGTTTGTTATAATTATTTTCTATAGGATTGAAAAGATTAAAAAACTTATAAAGTAAATAATAGTTTTCATATAATTAATTGAAGTGATAATTTAAAAATATTTTCGAAAGATTTAGAAAACAGATTGTATGAATTACACAAATGACGAATCCCATAGGAGTTTACAATAAATAGATTTATAATGAAGAGATAAAGTAATTCGAAAGGAATTTAAAAATTTAAAAATTCATATTAAATATAAGTTAAATCAAGTAATCTTGTTATGAATATAAATATACACATATCTGATAAAATATAATTAACGTATGATCATTATTGATGATCTTTTAATATTCTCTTTAATAACAATCTCAAGAATCGGTCAGGTACAAAGAATTTCTATTGAAATCAAGAAAAAGGCCAAAAAAGAGCATTCAAAATATTTTAATCTAATTAAAACAGATCTGATTACGAGGAAGAGACATATTCGCGTTTAAATTTTTTTTTTAAATTAACCTAATCGCGAAAAACATCTTCATCTTCGAGAGAAAATTATCAGAAAATAATTTAATAAAGTGATAAAGATTAATATTCGATAATGCAGGATGAATGTCTTTTGATAAAACAAAGATCCAGATAAATCCAACTATGCGATCAAGAATCTTTACTCGTTCAGCTTGCTCGAATATTATGCTATATCTCGTAGAATGTGTTCAGAACCTGTTATCTTTCACGATAATTGCCGTAAATATTTATGACATTGCCAAGGTAAATCTTATCCGCTCTATCAACAATAATAACAATAAAAACAATATGGACAAAAGTCGAGGAGTTTACGAGTTTTGCAATTAAGAAATAAGAAGAAGGTTTATCGAATGGATAATAATTACGATATATAAAACTGGCGCAGTTTATTAATCATAATAACATGATAACGAAATCATAAAAACGACTATGAAACGTTTTGAAACCGTCGCTTCGAATAATTTCCGCCTCCTTAAATGGATTTATCAACGAGATAACTGGTTCGATGGTATAATATTCGATACGTTTCGATACCAAAGCAGATTTTTTTTCTCTTTAATTTTAGAAACTAATTTTTTGCTCAATCTGAAACCGTTGTTATCACGTTACGAGTTTGATTGATATCGTAAATATTTGCAGAAGATATATCCGTATTGTTCGAGAGATAATTTAAACGTGCAGAGTAAGATTTTAAAATTATTTACAGTTAGGATTTTGAAATTGTGTATTGTTTCTTTTTTTTTTTTTTTTTTTTTATTAATAGAAAATAAAATTATTCTGTTGTGTTAAAATAGTAACTTCTATATATATTTACACTTTTCCTCAAAATTCATAAACATTCATAAAAATTTCCTTTATAATTCTCCTTATATAGTTTTGATACATAGTTTTAATTTCAAATTTCCCTCTTTTTTACTAGAAACGATATTCAAGTATGCATCGAAAATAGAAACGACTTCTAAATAGTATTAGATTTTAAATGATTTTCTACATTCTTTAAAAATTCCTGTTACATTAAAACCTCAATCAAAAGCAAAAACAAATTCTAAATGCAAAACTTATGCTTTTGCAAAACAATTCTTTCGCTTAATAAAATTAAAAATCAAAAAAACAGGAACGAGTTTCAAATGTACATTACCAAGACAAAGATTTCCTATAGTCTCAATCATCAAACTCTCCATTATTGTCATAAACAAAAACCTATACTTCCAATCGAAAGTATACAACTTCTAATAATTTTCTCTTCGTTCAAAAAAAGAAATCAAAAAACAAAAAAAAAAAATGGAAATGAAATTGGAAATTCCCAATCACCAAAAATTGCTCTCTCCGTTGTCGCAAGCAAAACGAAAACCATCGAAAACCTGAATTCCCAATCGCGCACCAACAAACCTCTCAAACACATCCGTCACGCGTTCCCTCGACAGCAGAACAAGCTCGAAAGAAAGAAAAAAAAACCGACGACAGCGTGTCCATTCTCCATTCCCCATTCTTAATTCCCTTTTACGGAAATGCAGATCATCCGGAATATTTTCCACCATGTCACGTTACGTCTTCCACTCTTCTTTCGTTGAAAAGCAACGACGATCTCTCCTCCGCGTTTTTCCATCATCGCTCGGCCATTCATCCCGCGGCCAAGTTCATCTCCATGACAATAATAGAGATATTTTTCTGCGGCGATGCTCGGACTCGAATTCGAGAAAGCGTCCCCTCCTCTCGGGACACGCACTCCTCGACCCAATGGCGAGAGCAACGGCGAGAATAGGAATTAGGAATTAGGCGTCTCCGGCAGACCCGTTGCCTCCCTGCCAGTGAAACTCTGCCGGTGGAAAGAATAAGAAAAAACGGTGAATGGTGGTCGGTGCGCATACCTGGACCCCAGAAACGTTCCTTCCTACAGCCAACACTAGGAATATCCGGGAAATTCCGGCGAGAAAACGCGGTTGGCATTGTTATGAAACGTTTGCGTCAGAATGTTGGGACGCACAGTGAAAACGAATTTTCTTGAAAATTTTGGAAAACGAAGGTGTTTAAATAAAATCGATGGAGGAGAATATTTTTTTAACAGATCGTGTTATCGTATATCATACGATGAGTACATCAAAAATATTACATTCTCCTATGGTAAATTTATTCTTAATTCTTAATAGATTAGCATCACAACTAAGTGGCAGCTAAGTGGATTCGTTTCGGGTAAACTGAATTTTTGAACTTGAAGGTGAAGAGGAATATGTTGTAACACTCGTAATTAATATCTTCCTCCTCAACTTTGAAATAAATTTCTACGGACAAACAATTGTCGCAATTGTGTATTGATTAAGACGATCGAAACTCACCCTGTTCCCCCACCGAAAGGGCGAATCTTCACATTTTCAAGTCCATCGGGAGCCACGATATCGAGTTGTTCTCCTCCACCAGGGATAATCGTCCCTCGATCGGCAAAGTCTATCGAGTCGAGAAATCGAGGGTCGATCTACGAATCACGTGGCGCAACATCGGACGTCTTCATCTGGTTACGCGTCCAAGCAAACTCGAGGCGACTCCTCTCCCTTTCTATCTCCTTTCCTCGATATCTCCTCCTCTCTTTCTCGGTTCGCACAACTCACGTCCAGGCAATCAGGTATGATTGGCTCGATCCACGCTTTCGCACTAACCACTTTATCAAAGCGCCCGTTCTAAATAAACCTGCATTTGATTACAGCCCGCGTGCCACCTTGTCGTTATCGTCCCTTATACCATCTCCTTCCTTCGCACCTACCGATCGAATCGTTTCACTTCACCGCCGAACGAATTATCTCGTCGTTTATCCGGCTGCAACCGATCATCGTCTCTCACGGTGAGACAAAACAAAACCGGTCGATCCTCTTCACGATTTATCGATCGTGCGCACAGTTTACATCGTTTTCAAACATTTCAAACCCCCACCACTTTTATCCCAACAAATAAGACTCGTGCGAACGAAGACTTTTCCAACTAACAATGACAGATCTGACAGACTGATCCCAGCACCACACATTCGGAACGAGCTCTCTACACTTTTCACAATCAGCTCCGACTAAACCGATCCCTTCGAATCAATCTCTCTCTCTCTCTCTCTCCCCATTCCAACCGTCGTCGCGACACGTCCCGTCTATATCCTTGGCGAACCTTCGCGCAACCTTCACCCCTGTCACCTTCGAAAATGCTCGCGGGGCAAACACGAGATGAAACGCCACGCGGAATCACCTCTTGCGTGTGAAAACCAGACGATCGATCCAAGTGGTGGAGATCCCTCGAGGAACGTGGAACCGGTAGGAAGGTGGCCCTGTCTGGGGCTGTGCAGTTGGACGCAGCACACGACACCGTGGTGGATCGAAATAGTGTTCGTAGTGTTGGCTTGAAGCGCGTCGGAACACAACTGAAGCGGTAGGACCACCCAGTCGGTCGAGGGCCCCTGCCCCGTCCGGATACAGTTCCCTGAGTATACCGTGCAAGCTCTCCCACTACCGCCTTCTGCCTCCTCTCCGCCACGCTATACTCCCTGATTGAGCTGGACTCTAGCAGGTGCCTCAATGTCTTACTCCGGGGATGGAAGATTGCTTTGGCAAGGGAGGAAAGGAAGGAAGGAAGGAAGGAAGGAATCGAGGGAAGGAAGGAAGGAAGGAAGGAAGGAAGGAAGGAGTAGGTTGGTGGACTACCTCCTGAGGATCGTGTCTGATGGCTGATTGGAGAGGATGGCAGCGAGGTGGACGCCAGTGATGGAGAAACTCGGTATTTATTAGGGGGTTCCAGCGTCCTCATTTATCCCCCGTATACAATGATGAACCTGTGGATGGGAGCGAGACTTGAGTTCCCGGAGTTGATGAAAGGATTGGGCGCCGAGAGATTTGTACTTATGAGCCGAGCGGCCGATTTTTGCGTGATTTAAACGTAGTTTTCATGTCTCGTGGCCTCATTGGTTATGGGATGTTTATATATGCAAAAGATAAATTTTTTCAGCGTGGCAATTGAACATTTTTGAAATATGAAAAATTTATTAAAGTTTCGAGCATATGTTGTATTTTGTCTGTTATTACATATGTAAGATGTTACGAGGAATGAAGGAGAAGAAAAGGCACGAGATAATTAAGAGAGAATTATAAATTAGTCTTTTCTTTCTCCTTATATATATATATATATATTTCTTTTTCAAAATTCTCCTTTCATTATCGACTTCAAATTTTAGAAAATTTTTCTAACGCATACATTTTTCCTATCATTTTCATTTTCCATAGAATCTATACACACGTGCACCCAATAATCCAGAAAATTATTTCATTATCTAAATAACAATTAAAATTCCAAGATTATCGATCATAACATCAACTATTCCCATTATATAAAATACGCAACACCTTATCCCATAAACCTCGAATGCCACTCATTTAAAAAAACACCATTCGAACCATCGTCCTCAATTTACGAGCTTTAAAACTCAACCTATCTCGCTTCGCCACGATTTTCCATCGATTTCTCTCGTAGAACGCGACACATCGACGCGTAATTTCAACGAAAAAGAAAAAAAGAAGAGAGAGAGAGAGAGAGAAAATTTGGAAGAAAGAAAGAACGATTAAAAAAAAAATGACCAGCAATTAACGCAACGAATCACAATCCGATCTTATCGGCGGCGACGATCGTCTTAAACGATCTCGTCCCCGACCCCCCCTCAAACGTGGAAGATAACACAGAACGAATCTCGAGGATTTAAGGACTGTCATTAAGGCGCCTCACGGTGATGTCTCCCTTAATGGGTGTCGTTAAATTTGCATCGGAGCGCTTATCGTTGGACGGTCGTTCGTTCAGATTAAAACCAAAGCCGGAGGAAAAATCGCGTTTCTCGCCTCCGAGATTCTTACATTCGAGTTTAATTCGATTACGAGCCGGCGTGATCTAAATATCGCATTTCGAATCGACTTCGATCGACATACGTGGACACAAGATAAAATGTTTGCCGATAATTTGCAACTTTTCTTATCGCCACTCGATGAGCAATCGATTCCCGATTGGATTTAATTACGTTTTCACGGAGCTCTTGTAAATTCTTCGTTGGTGGTGCTTGTGATCATATTTCGCGTGATAAAACGTACGATTATTTTGGAATGAATTCGTTTCTTTTTTTTTTTTGAAATAATTAGTTTTTTTATTTGTCATCGATATTAATAATAAAAATATCTTATCTTCGAATAATTTTCAAATCCAACTGGATGATTTGACGTATTTGCTATTGATTTATATGATTCAAACTCAGAATTTTATTATCAAATTTTAATACTGAAATTAGAAATTGATAAAGATTAAAATCATTTAAATATTATTAATGTTATTATAAAGTATTGAAGAGATATTTGAAGACTAAATATAAAAATATTTTCTTTTAATACATTGTATAATATTTCGTGTAAATAATTTCCATTTTGAATAAATAAATTAATTAAAATTTTCTGTGTAAATTCGACAGACACAGCACTAAAAATCTAAAAAGAAACGAATACTAATTCCGAATGACAAATTGCTTGTACTTTGGTAGCGCAGAGAGTTCATTAATTATTTATCGTTCTTCGTATACATATTGAATTTCAATTGAAGATCATGAATGTGGCAATTCCCATCAAATGGTGAGTAGAATATTTCCCTATGTAATTACGTTTCTTTCAAGAGAGAAATCCTTAATTGAATTATTTATCCGAGGCGGGAATTCAACAAGTTAAATCGTTAATCGCAACACTTCCATTCATAATTTTATTTAATCGTTCTTTTGACCTTTTCAACAGCTAATGACGATCTTTGATTGATTAAATCGCATCTTGATTAAATCGATAATGCAGCACCTGTATAAATTATTGTACAATTTTTTTTTCACGATTCTTTGTCAATTTATTTTTATTTCAATTTTAAATGTTATTTTGAATAACGTTAACATTAACACTACCATTGAAAACAGAATTTAAATGGAAAAATATTATTAATTATGCTATTACTTCTCGTTTATTTTCTTTATTGTGCGAAACATTTCACGTTGAGTTAGTTATATGCTAAAAAATAAAATTCGAGAATTAATATTAATTCAAAATATATATATGCAATATCTATTTTTCATTCTCTCTGAAGAAATTTTAATCCCAAGATAGAAAAAGAAATCTTTTACACAAATTATATTTATGATTTTTTTTTTTTTTCAAATATCTCGATTCTCATCGCAAAATCGATATTTCTGAAAATTTGAGAAATTTAAATAATAAATTGAGATGAATATTTCAAAAAAGCCAATAATTTAAAAATATTCACATTGTTTTTCACAATATTTTTATAACGAATATTCGATAATGTACTAAAATTTTAAATCTATTTTACTAATTATTTAACAAAATATTACAACATCTTTTCTAAAAAAATAAATCTCACCAACATCAAACCAGAGAAACCATTCTCCTTCCCACAGAAGGAACTCATAACCTCACTCTTCTAACAGATAGAAAGCGCCACACGTTCTCATAAACAGCAAATTGCTCGCGAGCGGACAACTCGATATTTCTCCACGTCAAGTATCTGTCGCATATCTGTACAGGGGAACCCATCAAAAACGGCGGCGCGCATAAAAGCACGAGGCTCGGGCACCGTTCCCAATGGTAAATCACGCCACACCCCCATAGAGGTCGCCTCGATGAAGGCCTTAGTCTGAGCGCGTGCACGAGCATGCGCGTTAACCGCGCTCCACGAAAGCCAGCTTTTCCACAATCTCGATCGGACCCGTGTGCAATTTTGTGCGCGACTTACGTGCATGAGCGCGAGATTTAAGTATATACCTGCTTACGACGGGGGTAATTCCACGTCGTCGTACCGCCATAAAGCCACGGTGTGCAGAGTTCACGGTTATGGGGGTCTCCTCCCTTCCCTAACCTAACCTCTACCCACTTCTCAAAGTGCAGCACGCGCGCGTCTTCTTTTCGCCCGAGAAGTCGTCTCTTTTCCACCTTGACTCGGTTTCCGGCTCTTTTTCGTCTCTCTCGTCCCCGTCGCATGGGTCTTACGAGGCTTTACGGTCAGAGTCATGGGATCGTGGACTGGCCGGATCCTATGATCGATGGGGCTTTGGCTTAACCCCCTTGGACTGGACCGTGTTGCCTCTGGTCGCACACGTATACACACTTTTTACTCGATCTTTATTTCTTCCTTCGTGTTTTCCCTTGGATCCTCTCGCGAATCCCTTACGGTATGCCCACCTTTCGATGGTTTATTGCGACGCACGCGGAGCATTCAACAACGCCACCTAGCAGAGCTGATGGGGATTCTTCTGGTGATTCATGCGGCCATGTTGGGACCAAGCTGAGCTTGAGATATTCGCGATTAGCGCGAGGTGCCTGTGGAGGACGTATGGCGAGGGTTGATGGCTGCTTAAGAGCTTGGATCGTTGAAATGGCGGCGAAGCAGTCAGGGATGATGACTGGTGGAATCTTGTGGTGATAATGCGAGTCAATTTCGTATATACATTGTAAATAGTATATACTGAATTTTGCGTTTCAAATGATTATTAATGTTTGATGTTTCTTTTATGCGTTTTATATTATATTCTTAGTATTGTTATTTTATTCCAATCTCATATTCGATATATTTAATTCGATTTCTTAATGTTTTGGCCAATTATGAAAATACATGTGACATACAAAATAGGTATGTCAGTATGTAATAATCATCTTCTCGTGGATCTAAATTCTCGTTAACCCTAAATTTTCTCAAAGTTATTTAAAATCCTGAACTTAAAAAAAAAGAAGAATAAAGTCAATATTACTATAATTTATCTTATAATCTCTCCCATCCCCTAAGAATGGAAACAAAG